TATTTACAATCATTTCGATAAACATGAAGTTTCACCTACTTTATATGCCGCTCCGTGGTTATTGACGCTGTTTTCTAGCCAATTTCCCTTAGGTTTTGTAACCAGAGTTTTTGGTAAGATATATTCCTCGCATTTAATAATATTATATATTTATATATGTTCGATTTATAAAGTCGTTTGTATATAATTTTACTAATTTTATTTCTATAGATTTACTTTTTCTGGAAAGCTCCGAAGTTCTTTTCCGTGTATCGGTCGCATTATTAGAAGAGCACCAAGATCAATTGCTATGTTGCGATAGCTTTGAAGAAATTATGGAATATCTCAAGGTAAAGTTATAATATTTCAATCCTTAATCATTTATAAGAAATAAAAAATAAAAGAGTACATTTATATGATTATTATCATTATGTTTCTATTCTTGATTTTAGACACGTGTGCCGGCGATAGACAAACAAAGTTTAGATCGCATAATGAAACGTGTATTTTATCCCGACTTAGAAATCACAAAACAGTTGAACGAATACAGAGTGGAATACCAAGTACTTCAAGAGGAAATGATATCGGTGAAGCCACAAATGGAGAATTTAGAGAAATTCAAATTAAAAAATAAGCAACTCACGCAAGAAGTTGCACAGCTTAGCGAGCAACTTGAGGTAATCCGAGTGATATTCATCAAATATTAGAATTAAAACTTAATACATTGTATGAATCTTGGAATTGCATTTTTTCAAATAATGATAACAAAGTGCACACAAACACATCCATTTAATAGATATATATCAATATTAAAATATCAAGTAGAGTAATTGTAATTAAATATACGAGAAATTACGAATATGGCAAATCTTAAAATCAATTTTAAATACAATTTCATACATTTTTAATCTATATTTTACAATAAATTTATCATTTTTATATGATATTGTTGTTTTAGTTCTTTTATCTCTATTATTATCGTTATGGTACTGAAATTATATTACAGATTACTATGAGCAACTTGCATAGGCTTGAAACAGCGCGTTCAATGCAACAAGCTACTATCCATAGACTTGAGTCTCAAAATCGCAGCCTTGAAGTAACAGTGGCTACATTGGGTGCGTTCATTCAGCAATTAGCGGATACACGTTCCGATATCGAAGTTCCGGGCGAAGTTCGTAGAATAATCGCACAGCTGAGTATGGTTGAGAAACGACGAAATACTGGTACCAAATCATATCCTTTGAAAGTCATCGAAGACAACAAGCACGGAATGATAAAAAGTAATTCAACTGGAAGAGAATCTCAAAATCTTTTAAAAAATAATGGCACGGATACACCGTACCCATTGAAGTCCACTCTGAGCCAACCCAACTTAGCAACGAAATTAGAGAAAGTCTCTTCGTTTTTTTCGAACTCACACAATCACATACAAAAGCAACGTGCGCAATTAGCAGCTCTTAGAAATGAATATTCTGAACGAGTAAGAAACAACGACGAGAATGATCCTAAGACAGTCAACATCGACATTCAAATTACGGATACTATGAATCTGGCAAACAATCCGCTTCCACAAAACGAAAACAATTTAAAAGTTCCAGCTACCAATTTAGAGAAATCGATATCATTACCACTGAAACTCAAATTGAAATCGTCGAAGTCAGCATACGAGTTAAGTTCTGTGAGAAAGGTTCCTACTAGCAAGCTTGAAATTACGAGTAATGATTCATTAACAAATTTGACAGGAACAATACACCCACTCGATACTTGTAGCGATGTGAATTTCCGGTTTAGTGGAACCACGAAACTAAAATCTATCAAACCTGTGAAATCTAGTCAGAGTTGCCAGGAAGATAGTAGTAACAAACAAAAGCCAGAACAAATCTCCGATCCTTTAAACAGATAACAATTACTTTCAAATGCATCTTCAAAGAGCATCTTATCGAAAAGAATTTTCATAAAAAATATATATTTAAAACGATACTGGTGATGAGTAACTTAAAGATTGCATCTTTATATTTGATTAGTTTTGTGATTTTCGCGTCATAAATTAGCCAATTTTTAAGAGGGAAGTTTTAAAATTGGCTAATTTATACAATAGACAGAGGGAAGGAAATGATTCTTTTTTATTCTTATTCAGATCTGATGTGTTTGGCAACACATTACAACTTATGAAAGTGAAATGTTCTACTGAAACTATATTGAACATTTGGAAATCTCATATATAGTACAGATATATAGTCGATTGAAAATCCACTATCTCCAAATGAACATTTAAAACTATATATAAAGACGCATTAAGTATTCAGAAAATGAGATAAAGATATCAAAATAAGGTACTAAAGATATATACATATATACAACCAGTTTCAGATTGCCAAAGGAAGTGCCAAACTTTCTCTCTCTGTGTTAGAATATATTTTATAATAAGACAAAAACAATTTTAGTTACTTAAAGATAAATATATAATATATATGTACATATTTAGACACATATACACATATATATATAGACAGTACATATATACGCATATTAGATGCGGTTGTATCGTTGAAAAAATATATTGATAAAAACCATTAATGTATAGGCTGGCTGCTATGCACCGCAAGATTCAAAAAACTAAGTATTACTATTTTTGAACAAAACAAGCCTTGTGATATCAGGGATAGTTAACACACATATATATATATATATATATAAGATATCTGAAATTGACATTTTGATAATGTGAAATAAAGATATTCATAAAGATGATAAAATTATATTTTGTAGTATTTCGGTCACTGTAATATTTTATCAGCTAGTTATTATACGTAACTGTAGTGATATATTATTTGTAACGAAATGCAAGTATATAATCTTATGACGGAAATAAAAATATTCTATAAGTAATTGTTTGTTACATAGATTTATTAGAGTAGATCATATTATGTATAGTATTACAAACTAAGAAATACTTAGATTTTTATTTGTTTTCTCAACTTACTAATCTTATTGTGATAATAGATAAAAATATTTATCAATAAAAATAACTTAATAATATTAATAAATATTTTATTAAGTATTTCAATTTTTAAAAATATTAAGAATATATAAATTTATAATAAACTATATGATGCATATTTTTAAAAAGTAATGAAGGAATCATATGATATCTATGTTCACAAAATAATTTCATCTATTTTTTTTTAATTATTAAATTTTTTGTTTTGTTGCTATATTTATTTTATACATCAATGTAAAATACGACATGATTGTTATTATTAAAAAACAGTCTAAATTATATATTATGGTACATGTGATTTAATCAAAAAATATTTATGTATCTGTGAAGTGCTTTATTGTATAAAGTAATATCTATAAAATTATTACTTTCGCTGTTTACTTTTTTTCAATGATACATTACAGAATTAGATAAGCAACGCAGGCGTAAAACTGGTTGATTTTAAATCATAAATTTGCTGAGTATTTATTATGTTCATGATTCATTAGGATGTTCATGATTTATTGAGAAAAATACGTAATTTTCTTTTCATTCCTACTTTATAATCTTCACATTAAATTGTAAATTTAACTCATATATTTTCAGATGCTACATTATACATGTGTGAGATTATATACAATTTTCACTTTCCTTGTACACGTTTACTATTTTTTAATGTTTTGTTTTAGCTATGGTAGTCCTGCCAAAAAAAAATAATTTGTGTATTAGAATTTTCATTCGTATAACAAAAAAATAATCGTAATAAAAAAAGAATTATAGGAAAAGATAATCTATATATTTAAAATATTAACATATTAAAAAATTCTTAATTTATCTGTAAATTAATTGAATATCCTTACGTTTGCATCTGTTTACTGCCGCTGAGCACTATATACGGTGATTGAGTTTCCTTTTGTTTCGCTTGCAGTAAATTTAATGTACCTAAAGGTGTATCTGTTGAAGACATTCGTTTCATTAAAACTTCTTGTTCGGCTTTCTTCATTCTTTTCTCCACCTAAAATATATTAAAAAATTATTGCAGCTATGAACATATTGATTTTGATAAAAATAGTAATAAATGTTACCGGTAAGTTCATATATATGCATAATGCTTTATATATAATATAAAAACCTTATTTTTTCCTGGACCTTTCCCATGAAATTTGTGCGACAGATATCGAAAAGCTTCCTTAGCGCACAAGACATGCCCATCGTCATCAATATACTCAAGCTTAACATTCGGTTTGAAACCTTCCTTCTCCTTAAAATCGGATGTCGGTCCATTAAAACGATCTCTTCTGCCGAACTTATCATCATCCCTGAAACGAAAATAATACATGAACGAGCAAATTAAATAGACATACAAATTATAAACTCTAAAAAGTCAGTTTTCCTCAAAGATATCAGCTAAAGAAACTGTACTATGTTATCGTCTTATATAACTAGGTTTTGATATTATACAAAAAAAAAAACAAAAATTAAAGCCCTTGAAATACGGTGTTCTGAAACTTGTGTCCACTACCAATATAAATAAGTCTGTATGAAGAATATGCTCGTGAATCTTCAAGATATATTACATTATGCGATTAAATTAAAATAATTTTAAGATATGTTACTTAAGTTATTTAAATTCTATATTAATTTTCATTTATTTTTCAATATAAACGAATTATATATATACTCTGTGTCATATACTGACACAAAAATAAATATTTAATTAATTAAATATTAAAATTCATGCACGCGCGTAAAGCTAAATATATTTTTTGTTTTCGTCATTCTTATATTTATTTAAAATTTAAGTGCGTTCGGAAATGTCAGACATTTTAATATCTAATAGCAGTGCCATATTAGCACTAGAGCCTAACTTAGACTATAGTCTAGGGGCGGCAGGTTTAGAGGGGCGGTATTTTTTAAAAGTTCTAAAAAAATAACCATTTTTTGCCGCGCGCGCGAATGATTGCGACAATTTTTCATTGATCACTAGAGATTTGCTCGCGTCACATGCTCCAATATGCTTCTATTATAGCTTCTACTCACTTTAACAAGCGCATTGGATCAAAAAAACATATACAAGGTATTCCAAAAAGGTCGGGACATCTCAATATCTCGAAAAATATAAGTTTTACAGAAAAGTGCTTCAGACAAAAGTTGTAGGATTCAAAAAGATCTATTTATTGATCTTATCAGTTTGACCTTGGCTAGCGTCGCCAAAGTCAGGTCAAGATCATATCAATTTTCTTAAGTGGCAGACCCTATTTTTTATTCCAGAATCTAATAGATAGTGTCAAGAACTTTTCAAAACACTGTAATAAAGTTATTTTTCATAAAGTACTTTTCGAGTTATAAGGCTTGAAAGTTATAGTACCGCCGGCATTAGCATTATGCAGTGTCCGACCGACAGCTAAAACCTCTTAAATGTTGTTCAGGATCATGTCCTAGATAACATTTGTTGAGATCAAGGTCATTGGAGATTGTTCCTCTTATTTTCATTTTTGCACTGAAAATTTATTTTTATGTATAATAAAAGAAAATAATTTTACGGTTCTTCAAACCCTGCAGATGACCCTTTTTTTTAGTACTCGTTTCGACATGGTTGTTCCTCAGTTGAAGAGGGGGCGGCAAAAATTCACTGTCTAGAGGCGGCAGAAACCTTAATTCGATCCTGTCTAATAGACGAGTATAGATTGTATGCCGCGTAAAATTATCCATCATACTGGCTTGTGTTAGATACATGCAAACCGTTCAGAAACAACGATTATAGTCACAATGTACAGAGACAAGAAAATCTTTCCTGAACATCTTTTATATCGACTTATTTTGCAATCTAATATCTAGCATTTGACTTTTCCCATGAGCAGACTCATCTAGAATCTTAGCACGATTCGCAGAAACGGAATCGCATAACATAAACATACCTTAACAAATCCTACTCTCTTCTCAGGCCTTGTGTTCACCTCCGATTAAGCGGTAAACTCTCGTAGTGGTAGCGGATCACCCGTTCCGAGCACCGATTTCCGGGCTCTATTTAAAACTGTTAACTGACAGTTTGAAATTCACTAGAGACTTGTCTAACACAATGCTTGTGGAAGCGTATTCGACATAAGGACCATTTCTTACGTGTTTGTTCCGCGCGTTTCTACATACTTGCAACACGTAAGAAGATCATCGTATATCGAATCGCAGTAATACATAGCTTACTTACCCGTATGTTTTGTCCTCTATCGAATAATTTTGAGCTTGCAGATGTGCGAAACGTGACGCTGAAGGGCGATTGCTGTCCTCTTTCTGCAAGTAACCTTTACTCATAGCTAACTTTAAAGCTCCACCTACCCCGTGACCGAGTGACGGCTCGGCATCTAGAATTGCTGCCTCCATTACAACTGGTTCCGAAATGTTCTCATCTAATTACAGAAGTTATATTTAATTTACATTTAAGAAAAAAACAATTATAAGAAATACTTCAATTTTTTTAAGTTGTAAGAATACTTGATTTGTTTTCTTTTTCTTTTTTATAGGGAAATATATCAGTTGTTATATGTTGTTATCACTTGTTATATAGAATTAATCTACAGTACACATGAAATACCTAAATGCACTGTATTCCAAGCACCACGACCGTCGTCTTCTTCTTCGTTTGCAGGCGGTTCCTCTTTAATTCCGTCCATTTCAAAATCCTACAACATTTATATTGTATTAAAAATGCAACAATATTCTAAAATACAATTAATCAAAAATATGTTGTTTAGTATACCATAAGTTCCTGTCCATTTTCCTCTCTATTTCCAGCGAGTCCATAAGTGGGTATATCACCCAAGGTCCTACAAAATTCTGCAGTAGAATTAAGAACAATATTTCCAGCTTGACTTTCCTCAGAGTTAAGAATTTCGTGTTTTATTGTTTCAATAGTTTTCTGGATGCCAGTTGAATGTCCCTCCTTCAAACGTTGAGTTTTCTTTAAAGCCAATTGTAATTCTAATTCCTTATCGTCTTCTTCAAGTTTTATTCCAGTAAGATCTTCTGCAGGAGCTGTTCCCAATAATTTCAATAAATCGAACAAATAATACAATTCGTTATCAATACATAGAAAATCGAAGAACACAAAGAATTATATACATATATATAATTTAACAATGTACGTACTATACAAAGAACTGACAAAAATTAAATAGAAACAAATAGAAATGTGTTTCGTTACATAATTAAATTACACTTACAATTTACAAATACCTAATATTCAAATAAGCACCACTTTTTTTTATCCTTAATTTTTACAAACTCATTTAAATATCTTTACCTTCTAAATCATCGACATCTAAAGTATCGTTATCTTTTGAATCTTCCGGTTTTTTTCTTCTCCTACTTCCAAGATCTCGAAGATAATCATTGTCCACAGGGACTAAATCATCTGCTTTCAATTTCTTTTTCGTTCTAATTTTCCGAATCTATAATCATATTATGTATTATTTTATATTATTGCAGAGAATGTTATATATTTTAA